CACACACACACACAATTTTTTCTAATATTCTGTGTAAAAAAGATTAATAATGTGATCAGTTTTTATTACTCTGTTTAACTCTGGAGCTCACGCGATAACTAATTATTGTGCTTGTAAGCCACTTGTGATGACTGATATCACAACCATTAACCTTTGTTTTCTTTTCTTTTGTTTCCATTTTAGATCACTAATACCGAGATGTCAGTCTCTCCTTCAGGTAAACCAGCTCTCAGAGCATGGTGGAAATGTTCAGTTCAATATAATTTTTGCAGGGCTGACACTTCAAAAGTGATGCTTACAGTGCCGTCACATAAAAAAAACCCCATCACCTTTCACACTGACAAATAGAGTCAATACAATCAATAGAGTGGAGGAGCTGTTGTTCAGGGGAGGAGACAGTAATGCGTTGTTGATGCTTTTGACCCAGTGTTGCGAACAACATTAAAATAATAGGTCAGGATGCTTTTCACTTTTACAGTCTGCTATAATTAGATTATCAGACTACGGCGACCTGGATGACTGACAACCTACCCAGAAAATACATTACTTCATGCAAAAAGATTGAAGAGTTTCTGCAATTCTAACAAGCGTGAAAATCAACCATCACTATTCTTCAACACAGCTTGAACTCTCATAGACAGCTTTCTTGTAATTTATTTAATAGTTCTTGAGGCTTCCTGTAGGTCATTCAGAGCTCTTCTTTGGATGTTGGCTGCCTTTTCTCTTTTCTCTATCAAAATGATCCCACACTGCTGCAGTAATGTTGAAGTCCGGGCTCTGAGGAGGCCAATCCATCACTGATTGTGTTCCATTGTGTGCTTTTCAGTCCAGGTATTTTTTTAAAAACACACTGGCATTTTTTTTAGCACCATAGTCACGCTCATAAAAGCTGGCAATTAGATTCTTTTCAGACTACTTCATGGGGGGTTAAAGTCATGGTAGCTCATGGTGGATCTGATGCTACTTTTCTGCATTCATAATTTAATCAGTTTCAAAAAGGTCCCCAACACCACTTACTGAAATCCAGGCAGAAACCGTGTTTTACACATGGCTGTAGATACTCACTTCCCCACAGTGGATCATTTCATGTCATTCTTTCATCAGTCTAACCCTTTGCATGTCTGCCTTCACAATACCCATGAATCTTCTCCGTGTTGTGTCTTTTTTTCCTGAGCAGCCACTCCACCTTTAACAGCCTTCCTCCAGAATATCCACTTTATAACTTTTGGGACATTTGCACCTGTGCACATGTCCAAAAAAAGGCTCAACACATGTATTCACACATGTATTCTATCTTGCTTTTACTGACTTTCAAGCTATACTTCCACCTCCCCATGTTCTCTTCCATCTGCTCCTTACACTCAATGCACACTTGCTTCTTGGTACAAAAATACTATTTAACGCATGTTAAAATGTGTTCTCTTGCTTTTGCGATGACAGGCTTAGTACTTAAAGTGCTTAAAGATACAGTGTAGACACAACACTGGTTCATCCCTTGAGTTAGGTTTCTTTAATATCCTAGGTCAGTGTTAAAATGGTCAGGTACATGGACTGGACTGAAATTAGGTGAAAAAGCAGCCAATGTCCAAAGAAAAACTATAAAAGACCTTCAGAAAGCCACTTTAAAAAATGACTTTTGCACAGCACTGCATCTTCAACACTAGTACTCAAAAGCTCTACATCCCTTTAAAAGTTGGCTCACAAAAGGTTCAAATAGAGACATTAACATTAGACTAAGCTGTATAATGCAAATTTCTTTTTATTTAACAGATGGCCAGTATGACAAGGAGGCCATTCTCTCTATGCTATCAAAAAAAGACTTTGGCAGTTTCAGGAAGTCTGTGAGAAGGGAACACGTATCCTCACAGTTTTCCGGCAAAAAGACACTCCTTCACTGCACAGTAGCTAGCGGTGATTCAGAGAGTGTCGAGCACATCCTGAATCTGGGTGCCGAAGTCAACTGTACGACTGCCAAAGGTTACACTCCTCTTCATATTGCTGTTCTGCAGAGGTATGCATAAGCCTATGTATGTTGTCTTAGATCAGTTGCAAGCAACTAAGGGACAATGCTGTGCTAACAACTGCCTATTTTGATCCTTGGTTTACCAGATTTCCTGTTCTTCTCTTCAAAGTTTAAGAAAAGCACTGAAAATGAGGGAAATACAGTTTTTGCTTTCTTACTAAGAACTAAAGGAAAAGATTGATTCAGTATCGCTGTCATTGTCTTTTTATTATACCGTATCTATAAAAGTCTAACAAATATTGAGAAATGTTATAATAATCTTGATGTTAAAATTATTTATGGCATCCCATTTGTGCAAAAATATTTATGCATTGATTGGTAGAAAGGCATAAATATCCAGTAAACATGTATTTCCTGAAACTGTATTTATCCACGTATGCAACAAAGTGTTCACACGCACAGAGATCAAAAAATCATCTAAGTGATTAAGTGTGCTTGAACTATTGCCCAAACATCCCTGAAAACTGCAACATTGTCTCTACTCTAGTTGCTTGATTGCAAAACTACATGCACTTCATGATATCTCTGACTCTTGTTCCACATCTAGTAGGCATGGGTCACTGCAAAAGTATAATGTAGTGATTTGCCCACGTTTCCCCACTATTTATGCTTTTTAAGCAAAGTCAAGCTTGTCTTGATCCTGATGAGGTGGCATTATGTAGTTTTCTGAAGTGTAGGACTGTTTTATTTTTAAGTTGTAATGTACTCTATCAATGAAACTTATTTTCAACAGGCTATATGACATCATCTCTTTGTTGCTGGAACATGGCGCAGATGGGAGCCTGGGAGATGAGGATGATTGGACACCACTCCATTTTGCAGCTCAAAATGGCGATGACAGGACTGTCCGACTCCTGCTGGACAAAGGTGCTGTCATCAATGCCCAGGAAAAAACCGGCTGGATGCCCTTCCACCTGGCCTGCCAAAATGGACATGAAACTGTGGTGCGCCTGCTGCTTTTGCGACAATCGCAGGAAGCTGTCGTAGAACAGGAGAAGGCAAACGGGAGGACACCGCTCCACTTGGCCTCCATCTACGGGCATCTCAGTATCGTGAAACTCCTCCTAACTCATGGAGCAGATCCCAATGCGACAGACAAATGTCTGTGCACTGCTCTTCACCTATCAGCCGAGGAAGGCCATAACAGAGTAGTCAGACAGTTGATACAGAGTGGAGCGACTGTTGACATTGCAGACAGCAAAGGGAATACTCCACTTCACCTGGCTGCTCTGAAGGGTCATACAGGCATATGTAGGCAGCTGTTGTCAAACGGAGCCAACCCAGATGCCACTACTATCCAGGGATGGACACCCATGCACCTGGCTGCCCTAAAGGGACATGAAGCAACACTGGTCCAACTGGAGAGTCAGGGTGGTTGTGTAAATGCAAGAGGTGAGAACGGATGGACTCCACTACACCTGGCCTGTCACCAGAGTAAGCCAGATTTGGTAGCAAAACTCTTGTCAGCCGAGGCCGACCCACATGTCACAGAGGAGAGTAAAGGATGGACACCACTACATGTGGCCTGTAAAAGTGTGAGTTTTCCAAGTGTCCTCCACTTGATATTCCATGGCGCAAATGTCAATGCTTTAAATTATGGAAATGCCACACCTTTACACCTGGCTGCCCAGCACGGCTGTGTACCCATTGTAAAAGCTTTACTGATGAATGGAGCAGACGGGACACTGCTGGATTCTTCTGGATCCACAGCTTTAAATGTAGCTCAGCAGAGTGAAAAGTTGGAAATAGTGGAATTACTAGAGAATGGATGTTAACTATCATGAGGATGACAATATAATGGAGAAGTTGCACTATAGAGGAGGGATTATCAGGAAACTTAAAGCACGATATTGATGATTTTTTTTCACAGAAAAAAGACCAGTTTTGCAACGCATAAGAAAACCAAATCAATTTCACAAACCCATCTATATTTTGAATGTTGTCAGACCATTGCACAATTGAAAGCAGAAATCCATTGCTGTCCTTGCTTAAAAAAACAGCGTCCGATTTTTACAGTAATTATTTCCCGTAAATTCCACAGACGTGCCACACGATCAGGCATTTGTATTGAAAATAATTACTTTAAACTCTGTGAATGCTTGACAGGGTCATTATTGTGATAAACTGTAGTGAGCCACCCACATGGGGGTCACAATCGGGTGAAGTATACTATTATGACAAAGTATATTGATTCTCCTTATTGAATCCCTGTGCTTGTTTGCTTCTTTATGTGTGCTTTCCTGTCGACTGGAAGATAGAAATGATATAGTAAAAAGTGTTGCTGTTACTAAGGCATTCTTTTGGTTAAACTTGTCAGACTGCAGGTATTATTTGTCCAATCTGGTTAAATGACATATATCAGAATCGACATAGCCATTTTTAACAGCTCCATGTGAGAATTTGTGATTAAAAATCCATGTATGCTTCATGACCAGCCACGATAATTCCTTACAGACTGAAGGAGTCACTTCCCAGCATGTGACACACTCATTTACCACAGTGACACCTTATTAAATTGAAATGAAATGCATGGTTTCGGGAGCTGTATTGACCTACACATTCACAGGGTTTTTCCTGGAACCACAGTGACTGACTTAGATGTAGTGCTAGGAGCTGAGCTGAATCAAATGACTGTAAATGAACAGAGCAGAGGTATATTTAACCTGAGCTTGGATTTTTTTTTAAAACATGTTGCTAAGTGAATGTCTGCTGTATCATTTTTAAATTGCTATTTTATTCTGAGTTTATTTTCCCCCTTCACAGCATCTCTGACCCTGAGCAAATTAAGTGCTGTCTGTTTACTTGTGTGGATTTTCCTTCTGTGTTGATTTTGATTACATCGTGACAGCATGAAACCATCAGTCCTCTTCTCCTGCTCATTAAAAGAACTGGGTAAAAAATTTCTTTCTTTGTGTCTTGTCATTTGTCTTTTTACCTGACCAATACACTATTAGAAACAATAGATTATGTAAATGATGGACAAATTTTTCAAGTCTAAAAACCTGGATCCACTGTAGAGGTGCCTCCAGAAGTGCGTTCTTTCCATTGGCCAGCAGGGAAACAACACTCTTGGTTGTGAAAACAACTCCTCCCCTTGTTCATCATGTTCAAGATGGCAAAGGCGAAGGCAAACAGCTTAGTGTTTCACAACGAGACGTCTTTAACTAATGCGTGACATCATGGTCACTGTATCCATCTTTTAATTACAGTCTGTGCTTTGAACCACTTGACTAAAATACTAGAGTCTCAATACAAACTATAACCTATAGAAAACAGTCAAATCCTTTACTTTAAAACCATAAGATTTTTTTTAAATTTACACCTGCAAACAACTTCTAATGATTTTAACAGATTTTTCCTCCTGCCTATGTGCAAAGTCCTGATTTATAATGTCATGTAGTTTTATATCAGAAACCCAACAAGGTAAAGTATATTGATATATTGATGACCCTATTTTCATTGAACAGAGTTTGAAAAACAGGCATTGTGTTATGGAAAGAATCTCTGTTGCAGAGTTCTGTTTATTTCAGGTTGGGTTGGATGTGAAGCAGATTATAGTTGAAAGTGTCCTTTAACTGCAGCAATTCACATTTGAAATGTATGGAGCCTTTAATGTCTAAAGAACTGAAAGCAAATCACATTTGTGTGGTTGTTATCCACTGTCAACAGTCAGATGACAATTTAACAGATGTGAATGACACTTATCTGTGGAAACCAGAGCTGTGTCATTGTGTAAACTGTCTAACAGCATTTCTGTCCTACTAGTATTCAAATCAAACAATTCATTTAAAAAAACATGAAGCAAACTATACAGGTCTTCTGATGCCACTTCCTAAAACCTCTTGCTTTTCTTTAATCAAGCCCACCTAAATCGATGATTCTGCCTCAACCTTTTTACACGTACAGTGACACTTTGGAAACCTTCTATCTTGGCCACTAATTGGGTTTGAAGGCACCTAAACAAATTTTATTTTCTAATAGGGAGACCAGCAGGAAGAAGATAATGCCGTGTAAGTTGCCACTAACGCAGACACCAACAGCATCAGAGAGAAAGAAGAAAATTGCATTGTTGTGGTCTTTAGCTTCACACTGCGTCCTGCTATAGTTCATCCACTTTTTTTTCTTAGTGAATGTATTCATTTAACATATATTATTCACAGAGAATTGAACAATAGCTTAATTAAACATTCTCTGATGTTCTTCCCCTCTGTGCTCTGATGTCTTGTGTGATGCAGTTATACAACTTTGTGGAGTTTTAATCGAAATTAAACTCAGACTTCACGGCCTAATTACTTTGAAGTGACGCTAGACAACAGTTCACGGTGATGTATTCACACCAAAACAAAGGCTCTACTGGCTTTGTGTAACTCTTTGCAACATTGCATACTAGTGCTTTCAAAAGCTTATCAAATAGTATCATGTGGATATGAGTCTGCTGATACGTTTTTAAATCTCATTGTCTTATGCTGCCTTAACCCCTCATGCACTGTTCAGAATGTTTAGCCAACTTTTAAAGCATAAATGATGCAAAGAAGGACTCTTTGACATTCACAGCTCTTATTTTAATGATAGGAATTAATCTGGCCATTTACTTGGTATATTTAGCTTCTCAGAAGAGAGCCATTATGCTCTCTGCAGAGAACCCTCTTTAGCAGGGTTAAACTCACCTTTGAGCTGAGCCCCGTGGTGTTAAGCAGCTGCAATCATGACTGATGCAGCTGTGTCTTTTGACCCAGGTGTGCAGCCTCAGCAGGGGCAAGCAGGCATCTTTGGTGCTTGCTACAATAATTGAGTGAGTGATCTGTCATGCCTCATGGGAGATGATTTTTTTTTCCAGAGTGATGACATAGAAAACATTTTTATGGCACTGTGATCTCTCTGTGACCTCTCGCTCTGCGAGAAGACCCCACCTCGGCCTGTCTAAATACCGAGCATTAGTGCTTGCTGTTTTTCACTTGAGTGAACCATCCTTCACATTATCAATTGAAGCATTTCAGTCATACCTGTGACTGCATTAAAAGTGACTTTTACATTGAAACACTGAGAAATTAATCAACATGCCCAATTATGATTCCTTGAAGATTTTAAAATGGAAATGTGTATTCATATATATTTGTAATATAATCCAAAAACTACTGAATTATTACCTCATTGTTCTAGTTTATTCCTATTATGCTTTTATGCTTCATTTCCCTAGTGTTGCGATTTGTTATTAATGAGTTAATTGAGTTAATGAGTTAATTAATTAAGCTCACTGCTTTCTAGCAATGAAACTACACTTTCTAACACACACTCATGCTTCATAATTCAGTAGATTAAATTTTGGGACAGTTTCACTCCCTTGAGGCTGTAGCAGCATCTCCCTCAAACGTAAAGTTAATACATCTCTAGTAATAGATTTGACCTGTGTTTCCTATTTTATTCTTCAAACATATTTGTAGTTCAAAGAGTGTTAAATGATTTCATTATTGAAAGTTTAATATTTTTCGAGACTATATATATTGAAAAAAAGAGAACTAACAGTCATAAGGCTGAGCAGTGATTTGAGTGTTTGAGTGCTGCTGAAGAGCATCATTTGCACATTAGTGCAGAGCAATTAGCCATTGTTTGGCTTTCTAATAATGTTCTTTTTTCAGCAGGCTATGTAAAATATCTTAATCAATGCTTTTAGCCTAGCATTGCCCCTCTCCAACTTACACAATGCATGTCTTGTTTTTATTCTTTCTTACAGATTGCTGAATTGGCTTTTAATGGATAGATTAAAAGAAATATAGCATCTAAATATATAGTTTTGTCCTTGGGGGTTTACATTAGGGGTTACAAACAAAGACAATACACTTTGTTTTTCTTGTACATATATTAATCTGCTATTCTTTAATTGTTCTTACCCCAGCCTTGTCTAAATTGGCTCAATGAAAATTATCTCAATAAAACATTTAAATGTAATTGTCAAAACAGTCCGGGAAACAAAATGGTTTTAACAAGCAGCAAAGAACATTGTGTATCATCAGGATTTCAATATAACCTGAGAGTAATTGGTAGGTTTTTCATTCTCCGGACTTTAATGGAATGATGGGAAGGACAATGAGTTTGATTATATGAGATTCACTTCAAGTGACAACGACAACTAGAGAAAACAAAAGTTCATATTCCTGGGATGTTGGATTTTCTGTCAAAATAAGCAATTTATGGGAAATATAAATGTTTTTTAACAACAACAACAATAATAATGATAAGAATGTATTTACATTAGGTCTACATTAGATCTCTAATTTCTATTGCACATGACCTTTATCAAGTAATTGAAACCAATCAGGAATATACATGTGAAGAAACTCTCCTGCATTCAGATGGCCTAATATAGAGAAGGCAAAGGAACAAAAAATAAATGCTCATTAGAGTTTCCCTGTTGTTTAAGAATAAATTAATGGATATCTTCAGAATAGACATATAAAGTAGAAAATGTCTTAATTTTGAGTGAGTATGTATTGTATTGAAAAGCTGACATATTTTATAGTCCATGATGTAGTTTAGTCTTTTAAGAGCATTTCTAGCATATTTTGTGTAAGAAACTGGGGGATTACATGTGTTAGTATCCATGTGTTGTTTATGACATGAAAAACAACCGTGCTGATTTTGATGTTCTAGATAACAAAGCGCAGTGTGCCAGACATACATAATCAAAGCAACAATGATAGAAGTAATACCTGGCAAGGTCATGGGTTGATAGAGCATGTCAGGTAAACATTTCAGCTGGGAATGATTTATGTTGGAACATAAGCTGAAGTTAGACTGTTCAGTCATTTTGTTAAAGTCAACACCTGAGTCCAGTGGGCTTGACAGAAAGGTCTTATTGACATTGTGCAAAACATTTTTCTCTTCAAGGCACTGAACGACTTGGGGACAGCAAACACTTACAAGGTATCAAAAAGTATAGCAAATATTGAATTTTTTTGCACTGCAGAATAATAACACAATTACATATTTCCTATGTTAAGCAAACACACTGGACAATAATAATGTCCAAACATTTCTCTCCTTGGACAAGCTGCCAGTAGCACAAAGCCTACGTTATGTAAAACATCACTCAGATACAGCGTGTTTCTGTTTTATTTCCTCCCACCTTCACCTCTTTACTTCTTGTTTAGATTGTATTCAATCTCTGCAGATGAATAAGATGAATAACAACTGTTCTTATACCGACAGCCAATATTGTGACTGCTCACTTCCTGTCAGTCTCAACAGACTGTTTGGTAATCTCATGCCTTTTTGAGTACAAGTCATGCATGGCATGCAGGATTGTCAGACATCATGTAAGCACACAAATTTACTGCATTGCACAAGATAGGACATGACATGGCTATATCCCGACACAGCGTGATTCAGCTAAGGTAATATTTTCATTGTAAATTTATCTGAACATGAAGGTGACCTCTAAATATATGCAGCTAAACAAAATGCTTTGGAAACTGGTAAATAATGTTCAAGGTTTTACCTATTTCCCTATTTTATGCAGTATTATACAGTTTAAACAGTATGTTAACAGAGCATAATAATGCAGTTGCAGCAAACTCTTCAGTATCAAAAAGGGTGTTGCAGGTTCCTTTAAATATGCAGGACTGTCTTCACATTGTAGCCACTGACATAAAGGTGTACAGTATACGGCATTGTCTCACTCCCTCACTCCCCAATGAGACAGAGTCTCATTGGGGAGTGACAGACTATAAGAGAGCCATTACTGACTCCTATGAGAAGGTAATAAAAGTAAATAGGGAGAACTGCAGCTGATCTAATTCATTTTTACACACAACAACAAAAAGGTTAGATTTGTTGTTTTACTAGAATTGCATTCAAGGTTTATAGAGCATTCTCATCTTTCTCAGTTTTTATTTAGTCATTAGTCA